GCCCGCTTCTCCCGGAGCCGCCCGCGCGCCTCGCCGGGCCCCGCCGCCCCAGGCCCCTCGGCCGGCCAGGCCTCACCGTGATCGGCCGCAGCACCCGCGCGTGTCCCGGATTGAAGCGGCAGCGAATGACCCGGATGTTCCCGGCTCGGCTCCCCCCCCTTGTCTCCGGCCCGGGGGTTCCCTCCCTCCCTCTCTCTCTCTCTCCTGAGCGCGGAGCGCGGCGCTGCCGTCTGTCCCTCGGCCCGACCCGTCCCTGCCGCTGCGCCGGCGCGCTCTGACCCTGCGCGCGATCCGTCCGCCACGCTTTACGCACCCTGGCACCACAGGACCCAGGGGTGACCGGCACAACGCCTGAGCTCGGGGCGCAGGAAAGGATCCCAGAACCGGGCTCTCCCAAAGCCCGGCGACTCCCCGGCACCCCTCGGCTCCCGCAAGCCCCCGGCGAGCGGCTAAGCGAATCTTTACCTCGGGCGCCGAGAACCACCCGCGCCCCGCAAAGGCCTGCTCCCTCCACGGGCGCTAGCGCGGGTCTGGCAGGCCGCGGCTGTCCCGCGACGCGCTCGAGCCTGGACGAGCCCCGCCCACTGCGAGCAGCCGGGCCTCTGATTGGAGGGCGGAGGCTCCGCCCCTGGCGGGGCTCTGGCGGGGTGATGGGCAGGCGGGAGAGCCTGTCAGAGGGAGCGGGGGGCGGGGCGGAAAGGCGGGCGGGCGGGCGATTGGTCGGTCAGTCAGTCAGTCAGTCAGGCCGCCTCCCGCCGTCGGGCCCCGCGGGCGGCGGGAAGCCCGGGGCTGGTGGAGGAGCCGCAGCCGGCCCTCTGGACCGCTGGTCCGCGCTGTCCCCCGGTCCGTGACTGCCCCTTCCTCTGGTGCAGCCTTCAGTTATGTGTTTGGCCCAAACCTGCTTTTGTTTTACCTAATTTTAAGAGGCAGCATGATTTCTGCGCTGTGGGTTTCGTTTCTCTTTTGTTTTTATTTTGGGGGGGGAGGAGGCGTTGTTTGGTTTTGGTTTCTAAGAATGCATTTTTAGTGGCACCGAATCAGAGGATCGTTGTGGTTGGAAGGGGCCCTAAAGATCACAGGCTCCGGCCATCAGCCCAGTGCTGCCACAGCCACCACAGAGCCATGTCCCTCAGCGCCACGTCTACCCGTCCTTCAAATACCTCAGGGATGGGGACTCCACTGCTTCCCTGGGCAGCCTCTTCCAATGCTTGACACCCCTTTTGGTGAAGAAATTTTCCCAAATACCCATCCTAAACCTCCCCTGGCACAACTTGAGGCCATTTCCTTTTGTCCCGTTGCCTGTGACTTGGGAGAAGAGACAGACCCCCGCCTCGCTACACCCTCCTTTCAGGGAGTTGTAGAGAGCACACAGGGCACATAGAGTACGAATCACATTCTATTCTCATCTTCCACTTACTTTCCTCATTTTAATGAGCCAAGAAACATCAGTCCTGAAACCTCCATTGAGCTGTGCCTTGCCCTGGTCTGTGTTTGTTGATGTTTCTTGAACTACCTTCTATGTAGTATTAAAGTTCAAAATGTTTTCTCTTCCGGGGAACTCTAGAATTAACTGTTCAACAAATAATGATCACTTTGCACTAATTTAGTGTAGACACTCTCAGCAGGGCTGTTGAAGTGCAGTAGTGGTTGCACCAAATCAGACTAAAGATCACTCCAGCTAAAGAAGCCTATGTGGCTTCTTAGTTACATTTCTTACACTATATGCTAGTCTTAAGCTTAATTTTTCAGACAAAAGAAGCAAAGTACTGGATTCTAAAATAAATCTGATGTTTGGCAGGGTGATTTGTAAATTGTGTGAAAGAAAATGTATGCAAAGTGATCAGTTAAAACTCGGTATATGTTTTTTTGTGTGATTATATATCCATACCAGAGGGGAATAATTCCTATTACAATGATCAGCAACCATCATAGTAAATGCAAAGGAAAATACCTTAATTTCCCAGCAGATATATGTCTGAATAAACGTGACTTTTTTTTTGTGATGAAGTCTTTGGAACAACAGAAAAGGATATGTCTCCTTTACAAAGGAAAAAATATTTCTGCTTTGTATCCCTGCCCAAAAACACAACTACATTTTATATCTGAAGTGCTAAACTAGGAATACCAGTTATATTACACTGTTAGTGTCAACATCAGTGGGTTTCAAAAAGGAAGATTTAAGACATCAGACTTCAAAAGGGAAAAAACAGGTTTATTTCATGCAGTTTACAATACGCTAGTGTTATGAAAAGGAGGTTAAAAAAATACCCACACACATTTTAATTGTATGTTTGTTTTAAAAATGATGGTTAATTGTAACCATCTTCAAATGATTTGGGAAGCCCTAGCAGATTTTTATCCAAGGAAACTCCATGGATTCAGTTTCTTGTCTATGTCTGTGCTAAGAGTTTTGGCTAATGCAAAAGCATTAAAACCAGATCAAAACTCAAACTTTGCTGCAGTAAGAACACTTCAGAGATAATGAATTGGCACAAAATAAAGTGTTATTGCTAATCCACTATCCAGGAAATAACATGTTCCAAGTATGGCCGCTTGGATATTAACACAAACAGCTGATGCACAACTAATTTTGAGACCAATGATTTGGGAGAAAAAAAAAAAAAGAACATGTGTTGCACTGGGTAGGTGGGCCTAGAGAGTCCATAGGAAATAGATTTTTCAGAGCCAGGCTGAGATGAGGCTCAGGACAGATGCAGGTGGAAATATTTGCCATTTGATCCTCCTTCAGTTTGGTGATCTTGTTTCAGTTCCAGGTAGACAGGTTGGCAACACTTCTCTTACAGTGCCTTGGCACTTGCTTCATCCGAGCAAGTACACGCGAGCCAAGTGAAGTTTGAGTGAAGTTGTGCATAAGCTTTGGGAAAATCTTCAGAAGGAGCAAGAATCATGTACATAAATACATTAACTCTTACATTTCAGATGACCAGGCCTGGAAATCTCAAAAGGTGTTAAGTCAGGTCAAAATTTAGGCTCAGCTTTCTAAGGCAAGGAGAGCACTGTCACAGAACCTCCTCCCCTTCCACCCACCCCCAAAGCAGCAAACCAACTTTCTAAAAAGTTTCTCTCATTTTAGTAGCTATTAACACACAACATCATAAAGAGAACCCTTTGATGGGCCCAGAAAGCTACGTTTGTGGCAGTATCTGTTCACTGAACTTTTGACAAGTTTATGCCTCAGTTGACCTCGCTAAAGTAACGGACAGCTTAAGTTGCAATGAAATATTCATGACAATTTCCTGGGGCAGAATCTTCCTTGAAGTCTCTCTATTGCCAATGCTGGTCATAAAAGTAGATTCCAACATAGGCAATAGTACAGTGGTGGGCAAGTGTACTGTCTTCTCTAGTGTATTCCTTACCAAGCTGGATACTGAAATTGCAAGCTGTATATGAACACTTATATCTGCAATTGGTTCAGCCATTTGTAAAAGTTATTTTAGAGTCCGGAGTTGAAAGAAAAACAGAGTAGCTGCTTTTTAAACGTTATATGTCTCCAGAGCTTCAAATTAGCCCTGGAAAGGATTTTAGCCCTTAGCATTTCTGCACTGAAAATGGAAAGAGTTCCTTCTATCTGACACTCGTTTAGGCAAACTGAACAATAAGATCTATTTAGCCCTTTAAAGCCTCAGAGTTCAGTAAGAAGCCTTTAAAGACAGCTCCCGATTGTTGTGAGCCAAAAGAAAGA